CATACTGAAGTTCCAAGGCTAATAAAAGGAAGGATGTAGATTCAGGCAGTGGCTCCAAAACATGCACTCTTAACCACTATACATTACTAATTAAATTATATAACATAAGGTAAACTTGAACATGAGGTGATTTTTTTATGTGCCCAATGAGAATACAAAAAATTGTTATCAGCTTGAATATGTACACATTTAAGGACTCAGATACAATTATCAACTAACTGCAATTTTACTATGTATACATATATAAACTATATGTAATATACAACACATGTTAAGTAGTTGTGTATTCATTACATTTTAGTATGTATTATATAATAAAAGTATAATCACAATGTTAGGTAAAGTAGTATATTCATTAGAAATACTTCATTTTTCCATATTTATATTACGTAACACAATAATAATACTGTCTAGTGGTTTACCACAAGGACTTGGAAGCCAGACTGTTTGGGTTCAAACCTTGGGTCTACTGTTTCATAGCCTAAAGATGTTTGACAAGTAGTTTAACCACTCTGTTCTCAGTTTCATTATGTGTCAAATATATAGTACTTACCTTACTGGGTTGTTAAGAAAAGTAATTGAGTTAAAAGGTACAAAGTGCTTAGAGCAGTGTCTGGCACAAAGTAAGTATACATAGGTGTTAGTTGTTAAGTATTTCAAATGCATCGCTTGCATCTTTAGCACAAGGGGCTCTGCCATCACTAGCGCCCAGTCCTCTGATGCTGTTTTTTACATTTTCTACCCTTCTAAATTATTTGAGATATAAAACTTCCAGTACTGTTATTGAAATTCTTATTCCAAACCACAGTAGCCATTCACCTAGTATTAGAAATGTCTTTGTTATTTAGGAGGATATTGGTGATCTGTAAAACAGTATTGCTTTAAAATTATCAAAAAAAAGTTTTTTTGCAAGAGCATGAGGAACTTGTAAGATTGAAGTCAAAATCTCAAGAATAATTATTAAATTGGGGTTATTTTATTTATTTATTTATTTAGTCTTAAAAACCAGTTCTGTCCAAAAGCATCCAATTTTGCTACAGGCAAATTTGTCTTCCCAAAGCAGTAATTTATTGTTCAAAATAAAATAACTGAAACAACAGAAGCAGAATTTGATGAGGAAACTTTTCTTTAGAGAGTAAAGGATAACTTGAGGGAAACGGATGTCTTATTTGGGACATGGAGTTACATAATTAATAATCCAGGGGTAGTCAAAACACCTCTTGGACACCTGCAATGGTTTTTACCATAATTACCAGGTTTCGTTGTGGAATTTGTCATGGTACCCTCACAGCTGCCAAATCCCTACCTTATTTGGTGCTTGTGAATGTAGGGGAGAACAACTCTTTTTCAAACCATCATTTTCTGGCACAATTCTTCATGACATACTATAAAACAGAGGGAAAAGAAGGCAACACTAAGATATCTGAGTACAATTTCACTGTCATCCTTTAAAAAAGAGCATTTTTGTGTTTTGTTTTTGAAGTATGTAAAAGAGTTAATATGCATACTAGCATGATTGCCAAACCAATTAAAAATATTACTTTCTTTTTTTTTGTTAAAAGTTTGGTAATTGACATACTAGGTTTCCAGTTCTTCCAAGGAAGAGCTGGACGGCTGTTAGAAGCCCACTTTATGACCCATCATCTCTTGACCTGGTTGAGGTTTTCTACTACTAATGAAGCCAAATCAATGACTCTGAGGACAGCACATTTACCAAAGACTCCAGTTTCCTTCACTGTAAGTTACTGGAACCTGCCCTGGGGTGAGGAGGTGCAATGCCAGATAGATAGATAGATAGATAGATAGATAGATAGATAGATAGATAGATAGATAGACAGACAGAGAAAGAAAGAAAGAAAGGAAGAAAGAAAGGCCTACCTTACTAACTGTAAAATTGACTGGTGGTCTCAAAATCCCCAAAGGGTTTCTGCAGGATACTTTGGCTTATGTTTCAGAGTCAAACAATATGGAAGATTTAATCATGTAACTCAGTTTTCTTACTTGGCTTCTCAATTGGGTCAGAGCTGGAGAGGAAAACAAAATCCAGTAAATACGGTAATTGCTTTCACAGACAGAAGCAGAATTTGAATAGTATTAACATCTATATATAAGAATTCATTCCTAAGCTGGTAATTATTGATGCCCATACTCTTTAAAAAGTGTTATTTTTCAATTGCAGTTGACAATGAGTATTATATTATTTTCAGGTGTAAAGCATAGTGGTTAGACAACCATATAATTTACAAAGTAATTTCCCTATTTCAAGTATCCACCTGGCACCATACATTATTATAATATTATTGACTATATTCCCTGTGGTGTACCTTACACGCGCATGACTATTCTGTAACTACCAATTTGTACTTCTTAATCCCTTTACCTTTTTCTCTCAACTGCCCAACCCCCTTCCCCTCTGGCAACCATCAGTCTGTTCTCTATATCTATGAGTCTGTTCCTGTTTTGTTTATTCATTTATTTTGTTCTTTGGATTCTGCATATAAGTGAAATTATATGGCATCTGTCTATCTCTGTCTGACTTATTTCACTTTAATAGTCATATTCTTGTAATTTGTTCAAATTTATGAGTAATCTCCCTTTGGATAGGAAATAAAAGGAAACATTCAAAGAAACAACAAGACTAGAATTTTTCCCAACAATAAGATCACAATCATAAGTAGATAAAGCGATAGATTATTGCATATTGTTGATAACTAGAAACTCAGCTTCCTAGGTACTGTGGACTAGAGAATACAATCATATAATTTATCAATCAAACAGGGATATTTTTGAGAGTGAAAAGAAGACAATATTAATAATTATGCTGAAAAATCATGCATAAAATGGGACAATGGGGCTATCTCCAACAAATCAGGGTATACAGCCAGTCTACCTCAAGTTGTGCAAATGGCACCTACATCAATAGATTCTAAAACAATTTGTAAAAGGTGGTAAATAGTTGGTTGAGGTTCCCTGATGAAATAGAAAGCCTCAAAGGGTAGCTGCCTGTTCATCTCTAGAGTACAGTCTTTGTTGTTTTATGTCCTTTTGCTGTTGCTATTTTGTTTGGAGGGGATGTGGTTTTTGTTTTTACTTCTGCTTCATTTTAACCAATAAAATTTTATTATTCCTTTGGAAATTGGTCCCAGAGCAGTGGTGTGGCTTCTTTTGTCAGGATTTGGTCCCAGCAGACGATGCAATGGCTCTCAATATAAATTTAGTACTTTAAATCCTGAAGACGGTTCTGCTCATTGGTTAATACCATGGCATTTGGAGTTACGATAGTGAGATTCCTCCACTTTTTCAGAAAGTGTTTAATATAGCAGCCAGAGCAAAACAGTCTAGTTGTGCCACTCAGTCCATAGCCTTCAGTGGTTTGCCTCTTCTTTTAGAATCAACAGCAGAATCTAACAAGACACCATATTCTAGCCTTTGCCTGTACCTCCAGTCTCAGCTCCTGTGTGGCTTCCTTCACTTGCTGCCTCAATCCCCCTGGCTTCATTTAGACCAGTGATTTCCAGACTGTTGCCCAAGGGACATTTTGCAATTGAAATCGGAAAAGACACCGGAGTTCTGACTGCCTGTCACTACCAAACCCAATAAGCAGATAGAGGGATTGAATCTTCGTGGGCACTTTATTCAGATGGCCAGAGATCTGAGATGATGGTGGGTTCATACTCTAACAGACCATCTTGTCTTTTCTTTCCAGGCCAAGGTTTTTATAGCAGGGAATAAACAAGGCGTGGTGAGGGGTTTTGAAATTCAGGGAAAAGTTAATTAGATTTTAAAAAACAACTTCAGCATTCTTGTTCTGGATGTGGTGGTCTTTAGCTGTGTCCTGGGCAGTGGTCATCTCACCATGGAGCACAATGGCTCAGATATCATCTTCAATTGCTTGCAGTCCTCCTAAGGAATAAAGGTGGAACTGCTTATGGTCTCCCAGAGTCAGGGTGGGTCATACCTTCAGTTCCTGGATCAAAAGCTTTTACATGCATTGATTACTAAGCTTATTAGCTATTACTTAAACTAAAATTTCCCAACTCTTTTTAAGTCCCCTATTATAATGGTTGGAGACATTTTCGGTTGTGACAAAGTGAGCAAAGTGGGGGCTGGGGTAATGCTATTGGCATCTAGTGGGTACAGGTCAGGGATGCTGCTCAACATCCCACAGTGCACAAGGCAGCCCTGTGCAACAAGGAATCATTGGGACCAAAGTGTTAACAATGCAGAGGTTGAGAAATTCTGGTTTGCCATGTTTTCCCTAATCGCAGGCTTTGCACAGACTGTTGTCTCTGGCTGAAATATTCATTCTCTTCTCTTCACCTCCGTTTTCCTTCCCTTTTCCCTTTTTCCCCTTTTCCCTTATTAACCCCTAGTCACTTTTCATCATCACCTTTTCATAGTGGTTTTTCAGATTCATATTCCAGGACGACTATTAACAGCTTTTCAGAGAATTGTGAAGCACGTGAGACTATTAGGAATAATTTCACATGTATTTATTTGTGTTTGATTACGCCCTTCCTCACCAATTCCCTGGGAGCAGTGCCGCCTAGCTTGTACTCACTAGTAGCCCCGGTATCCCCAGCAGCTAGCCGAGTTGTCCCCTAATGCTGCATTCGATATTATTTAAGGAACGTTTAACAGCCTAACCTATAAAAGGAAAATAATAGAGTAAGCATCTCATTAGTGTGCAAGGATAAATAATAAACTCATTAGCACAGTGCCTGAATCACAGTACGGTAAGTCCAGAGAGACCGAGTGTCTATTCGCTCCGTTTAAAGGGTTAAACAGCTTTATCAAACCCAAATACAGAGGAATTCTCCCTCCTCCCAAATAGTAACAGTTTCTGCCCCTGCGCCTTCCTGGCTCCACCACTAACCAGGTGGCCAGAAGTATTTCTCCTTCTCCCATTGGTCAATAGTGCACAGGCGCTGTTTCAGATTTCACGCCCCGTCGGCGTCCAACTGAGGACGGCAAAATCGGCCAGCACGCCTGCGCAAATGGGGCGTCACCCGGAAGCAGTTCTTTGGCCTGTGACACGTAGCAACGGTGCCTGCTCTGGGTCTTAAACTGAGTTCTCGGGATTATCTGGCGCTGGGGCAGGTGGTGCCGTCGCCTCTCCGTTGGGTGAGTGTCCCAGGCCCGTGGCACATTGCTCTCCTTCTGTGTACCCCCGGGCAGCGCGGCTTGTGGCCGCCTGTCGGCGCCGCTCCGGGTCCTGTCCTCAGACCCTCACTCCTCTTCAGGCCCTTGCTGTGACGCGCGGCCTCTGCACCAAAGGCGCGGCCTTCCAGGAGTCCTCACTTTCTTGGCCTTATTTTGCAAGGGGGCAGGTGCGTTGTCAGTTGTAAATCCTAGCCCTGAGATGAAATCGTTGTTATTTTAGACCCAGTGGAGCCACTCCTCCCACGACCCCGCCCTTAACCCAGGCGTATCAATTCCTTAAGTGGGGGTGCCTTCCCAGGCCTTGTGTTAATACTAAACATTTCTGTAACACCCTGATATCTCGCCCCCCGAGATCCACCCTCACATGCTGTTTCCCAAAATTTCATAAGTAGTATTGTATTTGCTGCTTTCTGGGGCTGTTTCCTTAAGCAAAGTATCAGGAACTACTTCAGTAGGATCTTGAGCTTAACAGCCTTTTCCATTTCTGTTCTTTGCAGGTCATTTGCAATGTCAGGCTTTGATAACTTAAACACGGATTTCTACCAGACGAGTTACAGCATTGATGACCAAGCACAGCAGTCCTATGATTATGGAGGAAGTGGAGGACCCTATAGCAAGTAACTTTTCAGCTTTGGCAGTTTTTTTGCTCAAGATTGTGGTGAAAGTGTGTGCCCAGAATTCTTGGTTCTGCCTAAAATTGAATGTGTGGACGTGTCCCTGCTGATCAGAAATGGGATTTTTTTCGTAGCCTTTCTTCCTCAGCAGAGAACTGTACTGCTGGGCTGGGTTTGAAGGAGTCGCGCTATTTAGAGTTTGGTATCTGCTGCAAAATCTTCTTGTGTAGTGCAGGTGGAAAAGGACATTGTTGAAGGACTTTTTTTAGGTACAGTGTTTCTACATCATTTGAGATGTGGATAAGTGTTCAGGTACCTAGAAGATAGGCAATTAAAATCTTTTGATGGCTTTTTTAGTAGTTTAAATAGTCCAACTTTCAGACTTTATCAGCATTAATTGAAAGTGCTGGTGGCACTGTTTAACAGTGTGAACATCCTATTATGAATCATCAGATGCTTCATGAGGTGATTTTCATATAGCAATTGATAGCCATTTTTATTATTACTTACACCAAAAGCTTGTCAGTACACACAAGTTGCCAGCTGCAGATTGAAGCAGGGGACTCAAAGCCTTCCAGCCCTGAACTATTTTTTAAAAATCACTTTTTAAATAATCTCTGTTATTTGTGGCAAAAGTACACTAACTGAAGGTTTTCTACCAGTCTCATTTAGGATATCATATCTCTTTTTTTAGGGCCTTAAAGATAATCTTATTAGGCTCCCAACCAGTGAATGACTTTCCTATACCAGAGTTGCTTAACCTATTTTAGGTGGTCCAGGACTCTTCTAAGAATCTGATGAAAACTATGGGTCTGTTTCTGAAAAATATGTGCATGCACCACTCACATACCCACATACACATGCGTATGACATTAGGCAGTTCAAGTGTCCTCTGATGTTCATCTGTCGGCTCTCAGTTAGAAAGCTCATGAACACTGTCCCAGGGTGAGGGCAGGGGGAGACCGTGCAGCCAGTCAGGCTGAGAGAAACATGGAGTATTGGAATGTGTTTGAGTTAATACATCTCTATAAAAGTGCCCAAGAATATAAAAAACAAGCAAAAAATGAAATGCATCCCCATAGTATGTCTTGTATAGGTTATACATCTTACAACCTATAGATCTCTTGAATCTTAATGTTGATGTATTTTAAGGCTTACCCCTTCCCACGCAAAAACTGAACACAGTGAACTCATAATGGGAGTGAGCTAGCTTATAAAACAGTCAATGAATCACTTTTTTTCTATTAAATTCTCAATTATATGTCATTGAGGATTTATCTCTTTTGTTCAGTCAATTGGGCAAAATTGGAAAAATCATGTTGAGAAGTTTTTATTCATTTATTTACCTAAATACATATTTTCGTGCTTGTTCTGTGTATGAAGGGGCAAGTGAGTATAAGATTAGCCAGACCACAGCCACTGGCCTTGGGAACACCTGCCCTGTATGCAAGTCTGTTTTAACCAAATTATATGTATTGATATTTGGACTTAGCAAAATTGTTCCATTTAGTTTGCAGCTTCCTAGGTTTATCTGTCTCTGCCTTTCTTTCATATCCTGTTCATGTTTTCATCACTTAAAGGTGTAACTTACCACCCCATTCCAGTTCTCCAAGCAGCTGTTTAGATGTTGCTAACTACTGTTTTGTTTGTTTTGCTAACTTGGTAACAAAGATCAGGTGATAACATTTATCTTCTGATGAAAGTGTAAGTTTGAATAGCATATGACTTGGATTGTCTTGAAGTTTGATGTGACTTATTATTATTAGTCCGTAGTTTTACGTTTTCCCTATGAAGTCAGCTTTAACATTTTGCATAGTTTTCTCTATGGATACTTTATAACTATCATTCATATATTCATATAAAACAACAAAAATAAAAGTAATAAAGCCTGTTTGATCTTTATCTGTTGAGTTTTATGATTATCGTATTTGGACAGGACCCACATAGTATTCTAGATATGCCTGTAAGACATGTAATAATACCATACTTATTTTTGTAGGTATTGAAAGGTAGTATTTTTTTTCATCTTTGACTTAACTGATACTACCTCTGTTGACAGACTATGGATTTTTAAGAATTCAAGTAGCCAACTCAATATGTTAACAGGGATTGCTGTTGATTATGAGTGCGAAAGCAGGTTTACTATCTGAGTAAAAGTTACTTTTCCTGCTACGAAAGTGTTGATTTAGTCTAAAAAGATCATGTGTACCATACTGTGTTTTAGATTAAAGCTAGAACAGGTGAGTCGGGAAATTGTCTGATCAGGTCCTGCCAGAAAAGGAAAATAATAAAATTCTGTAGTATTGTCATTCTTACCTTGAATCTTGAAGAGGAATGATGGTGCATCTTTGAAGCTGTCACTGTTTACAGGATTCCTTCCATACATAAAATTTATGGATTTATGTCAGTGTTCTGAAGTATGGACTGCAGATTCAGCTGGGTTCTCGAGACCTTTCAGAGAATCTTTAAGGTCAAAACTATTTTTATAATAATATTAAGATACTGTATACCTTTTACGGTGTGTTTAACCCAAATATGAATTAAGTCAATGACTTAATGACTTAATTCAGTGTTCTAGTAATCATTGTATTCTGTATTGCCACACACTTGTAGGGGGTATGGGAGTCAGTTTTATCTAAGGATGCCCTTTATGAAGCAGTAAGAATTCCAGTGTTATATCCTGACCCTTCAGTACACATATCTTTAAAATATTCTGTGTGATAAAATGGGAACCAGTCATAAAGCACTTGTACTTCATCCTGAAGTACAGTGATTATATCTACGAAAAGCCCCTATGCAGTTTGAGTCTCAAGCTAAATCAGCCGCTTTTTCATGGAAACCATTTTTATTGGCAGGAACTGACCCACAAATTATGGTTACTCAGACTTGTGCATTTGACAGATATTTTCTCAAAACTGAATGAGGTAAGCCTGTTACTTCAAGGAAAACAATTGACAGTATATATGGCCAATGATGAAATTGGCATTTTGTGGCAAAAATGAAGGTTTTGGAAAACTTGTATTCATCACCATGAACTTGTCACCTTCCCAGTAATTAACCATTTTTCTTATGAGAGCAGTGGTGACATTATAAATGTGGTTTTTATATTTATATTATATACAGGGTGGGGCAAAAACAGGTTTACAGTTGTATGCATGCAAAACAGTAGAGTTTATTCAGGTTATTTTTATTTATTAATTATTGTATTATTTTCCAAACAAACAACTGTAAACCTACTTTCGCCCCACCCTGTATATTTTATATTAAATGTCAGTATTTGGAACATCTCCATAACTCATACTGATATTTTCAAAATGACCCATGCATGATGTTTCAAAATCAGATATGAACACAGAAAGAATCCTTTCAAAGTGCAGGACAGACTGATGTAGTATTTTAATGCAACAGTATAAAAAATTCATTAGTATTGTTTTCATTTCCACATTACAACTTAAATTTTAAAATCTACCACTTTGTTTTGGGTTTTGCTGTATCAGAAGGAATATTCTTAATAGTATCAAAGGGTTCTTAAAATTCTCTTTTCCAACTACAAGTCTACAACACTACATTTTCTTAAGATACTTCAACTAAAAAAAATATATCACAACAGATTGAATGCAGAAAGCAGATAGAGGAATTTTTAGCTGTCTTCTATTAAACCAGACATAAGGAGATTGTCAAAAATAAAATACAGTGGCACTTTACTCAGTAATTATTTTAAATAATTTTTTCATATGAAATGTTTATGCTGACATGTAATAGATTTATTATTACTTTAAATGAATTATAAATACATTAATCATCAGTTTTAATTTCTCATGTAATAAATATCAATAGATATAACCCCACATAAAAATATTTGGGGCCCTCAGTAATAAATTTTAAGGGTATAAAGGGGGTTTTAACATCAAAGAGTTTGAAAACCACTAGTCTGTACCATTCTTTTTGGTTTTTCGATTGCATATATATTCATATTTCCCTATTTTGCATGTGAGAGAGTGAATAAAATACAATCTTTTACAGATTGTAGAAACCTTCATAAGGAGCTTTTCTGGCTATTTCATAAAGTAAGATGTGGATTTATGATACATCCTAACAAAGATAAACACAATAACATATTGTACTAAATCAGAAAATGTGAATTCTTGTCTTAGTTCAACCAGCTGTCCCTGTGGAGTGTGTGTATATGTGTGTAATTAAATAGAAATCAACATACTTGTATACCAAGATGACTGGGGAAATACACATACAGGTAAATTATTACAGCTGCCTCTTTAAGGTGGGATTTGGGAGGGATTTTTATCACAATTGTGGAGAATTAGAGTCTGAAAGTTTGGTTTTGAATCCTGGTACCAAATGAGCAAATTATTTTAATCCAAATACCAGTTTCCACATCTTTTTAATAAAGAGAATGAAAAAACTTCCTAGAGTTGTACTGAGCATAATATGAGATAATTCACATTAAACACTTACAGCAGTGCATTTAAGGCTTCTATTTCCATGTTTCCAGGTCCCTTTACCTATGTAATTATCTATGTATATAAAAAACACATATACACATATATATGGATGTAGCTATATTCTAAAAAGTACAGTCACAGTGAATGCGTATGGTATATACTATCCTGAACATTGCTTTTTCCTTCCTAATGAATACTTCTTGATTATTTTTTCCTATCAGTACATGTATACCTGCATCATTTCTTTTCAAGTGCTTAGTAATCTCTGCCCAAATCACAACATATTTACTGATAGCTATTTAATTGTTTTGTTTTATCTTTTACTGTTAAAATAATGCTGCAGTGAAGTCTGTATTTTTATAAAACCATAAAAATAAATATCTTTTTTTCCATCATGGATTGGATTAGTGTGGTGAGTCTTGAGAATCCCACTGGAATTTCCAAAGTGCTATGTGTAGTTGAAAATTTCTTACTGCTTTGATTCACTTTTAATCAAGATGCTCAATTAATTTAAAAAATAGATTTAATTTTAAATCTCAAATAATATTAATGGAGTTCATTAGCTTTTACATTATCAAAAGGGAACTATAAAAAATTTAAAGGTAATTAGACTAAAGCATTTCTAAGGCTTCTCAGCTCTCACTTTTAAAATGTCTAAATTTTTAAATAATAATTTTACTTCTGTATTTCTTACTGTGTAATTTGATTAGTCCCATTGATAGGTAAGTCATTGTTTTCCAGATCATTGTAAAACAGTTGCTTAAAGATACTGCTTCAACATCCTTCTTTTCCATATTGTTTTCATCACTAAAATGGCCACAGTAAGGTCTCTCCCTCTAAAATGCAGGATTTGCTCTATAGCACATAACAGAACAATAGATATTTAAGTACTATGAAAAATTAAAAGCACAATTCAAATGCAAATATACTAATAATGTTTTGTTATGCATGCAGAAAACTTTCACAAGGAAACAGCTTGGTTTTTTTCACTATGTTTTAAAATTGATGGTTGTTCTTAAAAAGATTTACCAACTTGCAAAAAATAACAGACAACAATGTGGTGATTGCAGGAGGGGAGGCAAGTGGGTGGAGGTGGAAGAGGGCATAGGGGGATAAGTGGTGAAAAAATTTAAAATACAGGGTTAGCAGAAGTAAGGCCTGCTTGAGTGTGACTGGTAGGGTAATATTATGGGTGTAATAATTTATTAGGTGTAAATATATTAGGTGTAAATGTTTTAATTTGAACATTTCACCTAAAATGTCATATGATGTGCTTGAGTGTGATATTGTTATGTTACAGAGGTACACACTTATGATTTTGTAATAAAAGAATTTGTAATGAAAAAAAGGGTGTTATTTGCACCAGACCCTGTATTATGTATTCAGGTAAGATGTTAATAGTAAGATAAACTGGATGTGGGGAATATGGGAACCCTATGTGGCACCTCTTCAGTTATTCTCTAAAACTAAAACTGATCTAAAAAAATGGGGAAAAAAGACATGAAAGCAACCATCTGACTCTACTTCACTGTAATCAAATTTGTATTTTTTAAAAAAGAGTAAAGACGAATGATTTTTCATATAACAGAGTTCCAAATTACAAAGGAAAATTACTTAACATGTAGTACAAAGTCTGTCATCATAAGTTTTCATTCAGTCTTAGAAGTTTTATTTCACAGCCATCTTTATAATAAATGACAAGATTTTTAAGTTTTAATTTGTTGACCTTCTAATGTTTAAAAAATAGTTTTTAAAATGCACAAATGCTGCATAAGTGAGTGTTGGTATCATCAGGATGCTTCTCTATAAAACACAGTCAGCTTATTGTCAATAATCAACTTGATTTTAGTAATCATTTCAAGCTTTATTTATACAAACTAGCAAGGCGGATATCCTAGGAATTGAATGACTAAGATTCTCAAGCTGTCAGGGATATTAGCTGTTGGGAGTGACATAATTTTGAGAAATGTATCTTACTTTGACCTACAGACAGTATGCTGGCTATGACTACTCGCAGCAAGGCCGGTTTGTCCCTCCAGACATGATGCAGCCACAACAGCCGTACACTGGGCAGATTTTCCAGCCAACTCAGACGTATGCTCCAGCCGCACCGCAGCCATTCTATGGAAACAGCTTTGAGGATGAGCCACCTTTATTAGAAGGTCAGATTGGTTGCAACACTTGATAGTACTCTATAGCAGCCATCCCCAACCTTTTGGGCACCAGTGACTGGTTTCTTGGAAGACAGTTTTTCCATGGACCAGGGTTGGGGGGTGGTTTCAGGATAATTCAAGTGCATTACATTCAAGTTCACCTCTGCTGCGGGACCCAGTTCCTAACAGGCCCGGACCAGTGCTGGTCCGTGGCGTAGATGTTGGGGACACCTGTTCTATAGTATCCAGCTGGTTAGTGAAAATAAATCGTAGTTTAGAGAAGTTGTCCTTTCCTTTAAAAGAATAATGTTTTAGAAAAAGATTTCTACTAAGTGATGCATTTTAAACAGATTATATATGAAACCTCATTGAGTCAGAAGGGACCAGAGTTTTAATAGATTTTACAAGGTGATGATAAAGTATGTCAATAGATTAGCATTGACTTTTACTTTATATTGATTAAATGTTGTCTGTGGAAAAAATGAAAGGAAATAGCATGATACTGATTATTCCGCATAGAAATAAGCTGGCAGAACTAGGAACATCACTGAAAAATGTGGTGGTCTTCAAATTGTATTTCAAAACCCATAAAGCAGTAGTTCTGGACATTTTCTTTGGAGCAGGAGGATTTAATACCCTTTGAAAGGATGATGAAAGCTGTGAAGACACTCGTCAGAAAAATGCATACATACACATGCAGACATAATTTTGTATACAATTTTATGGGGCCTTCAGGTATTCCTGAAGTTGCAAATAAAAGACACCTGTCTATTAACCCTAACCATATATTCTTTGCTATGCATTCATAGCTGAGAGTGTTTTTTTCATCATATTTACCCCCTTTTCCAGCACAAAACCTGAAATTGGATACTTGTGAAATAAGCAATCAGTGAAGACTCATATTGAAAACGCATCCAGATAATTATATCTGGTATTGCTAGACCCTCTTGGTGCTTCATTTTGTCTGCTGTTCTAACAGAGATTCCGGTAAACTAAGGGTATATGACAAACGCTAATTGATTTCCTTATTTTCTTTTCTTTTAGAATTAGGTATCAATTTTGACCACATTTGGCAAAAAACACTAACAGTGTTACATCCACTAAAAGTAGCAGATGGCAGCATCATGAATGAGACTGATCTGGCAGGACCCATGGTTTTTTGCCTTGCCTTCGGAGCCACATTGTTACTGGTAAGATTTTAGTTTCAGCTCTCAGTGTCAGGTTAAAGACCATTCTTTTAATGTTCCACCAAGAGCCGTTTTTGAGACTGCTTATACATTAAGTCTTTGATATGTTTTGAACAGTGTTCAGTTGCTTGAAATTATACCTATTCATCACATCTCCATTAATAATAAATATACTGAGAAGTCATTTCTTGTTCTAATAAGTGGTCCAATTATTAGGGAAAAACAAATAATAAATAAATAATATGTGGCTCTGTTCCTTCATCAGAATCCCTTCTTAATTTTCAGTGATTGATAACATTTTTTAACCTGTTGCTCTTTTATTGTTTTTTTAATCTCTAGACCTTGGATAGTATTTTCTTCTGGTGCTGGGGGTTATTTTTCTATATATTATTTTTTATTTTTAATGAATGGAAACATTAAAGAACAAGGGGTTTTAGTTCCTACCTCCCCTTCCCTAACAGTGTTAAAACATCTTGAAAATGAAAAGTTGTAAAGACAATTGTTAGTATTTATTTTATCTAATGTCTCTGATAAGTGATTCAGTGACTAGATGTGGTTTTTAGTCAAAAGCTGGGCATAAACTCAGAACCCCTACTTTGTCCTTAAGCTCTAATAGATAATGGTGTGCTTTCCACCTAACACTACTGTTTTGGAGACTAAGCAAGTGAGGTTATATGAGAAGACTTCAAAAATTTTAAAACACTGTGCAAGTATGAAAGTTTACTATTAGTATATGAGTGAATTCAATGAACTCAGCTGAGCCCTTTGGAACTTCTATGTACTCAATCAATTATCCACAAATAAATATTTAGTCTAATAAAAATCCCAAAGATTTTTCCATTTAACATAATTTGTAGAGGCATTCTTGCAATTGAATTTTCTATGTCAAAAATCTAGGAACTTTATGAAGACTTCTGAAAACTGATTTCATTATAATGTGACCTGAATACAATGAGACAGTGTTTGTCCACATAGCTTGAGTAATGGTACTGTAACTCCAATTTACCTAATGTTTACTGTGCTAAGTTTTTGTTTCTCTGTTTGATTGGTTTTGGTCAAATGACTTTATAAATCCACTAACAATTTGGAAAAAATAAAGAAACAAACTGTATTTTCCATTACATTCCTCTTGCCTAGTCGTTACTCAATTTTTCTTTTCTCCTTGCCTTCTTGCAGAACTCTGGCTTCATGATTGTCCTGGCTTTCATCTCCTAGCTCCTCTAACATACATAAAAAATGAGTGATGAAGTTATTTCTACTATTAAAAAGATATGGCTACATCTGCCAATGAAAATAAATTGCTTTGGAGAAGTTTTGGTGGAATTAGGTGCTTTTGAGTGATATTAGCTATTGTCCAAACATTCTGAATGACATTCCATCTTGTTTCTGTAGTTTATTTGCTTAAAATTAGCCAGATGTCTTTTTAGAAATCTACTGCTTTAGGTGATTGTACCATAATTTTGTATCTATTTGTTGAATTCCACACCAAGCCTAAATACTAACTAGGAAATGAAAAACCAAATACCTGTGTATTGGGAGGTGGATACTTAAAGATTCTTAAGAAAAATATAAAAGCCAGTCTTGTCATTGTTTTACTCCTGTGCATAAAGAATAGATACCTGTGTAGATTTTGATACTCATAAATTAAATGTCTTCTGTATATACCATTTTAGGTGAAATAAGGCCAAAAATAACATGTTTTTTGTCCTTTAATCTGTAATGTTTTCTTTATCCATAGGCTGGCAAAATCCAGTTTGGCTATGTATATGGGATCAGTGCAATTGGATGCCTAGGAATGTTTTGTTTACTAAACTTAATGAGTATGACAGGCGTTTCATTTGGTTGTGTGGCAAGTGTCCTTGGATATTGCCTTCTTCCCATGATCCTGCTTTCCAGCTTTGCAGTGATATTTTCTTTGCAGTAAGTGCTGGTCTTTGTTTTGGGTGTTGATTGACCACTTTTTTGTGATAGGGTTTACCTCCCCATGAGTTTGAGATGATGACTGATGCAGCAAACGTGAGATAGTGCCCCTGCAACTGAGGAATGGGACATACTTTTCACTGAGGAACAGTGCAACTGAGAATAAGTTTTTAAATCTATTGCACCACCTCTGCTTTTACCTGTGATACAGAACTTCACTGTTTTGTACTCACTGGTATCTGTAAATTAAATAAGTGTTGATTGTTAATGCAGTTTTAGTGTAGAAAAGATTAAGTTGTTAAAAAAATTATATTTACTTTCTCTTTGGTATTTTTCAGACTCTGATTTCGTAAAGATGTTGAGTGTGTGCTAAGTGAATGAGCAATAAATATAAACTCTATTTGGCAGCTTTTTAACTGAAAATGAAACATTTTTTGGCACAAGGCTATTACTAGCCTGTCATATTCTCAGGTGTACTTGTAAGCAGTTTTAAATATGTGTAATTTTTAGATAATTTAGGTACGGTTAGAAAGTACAGTGTAAAATGCCCTCCTGATGGCCAGTGCGCAGATGCTCTCCACAGGTCAGGCTCCTCCTTGTGGCTAGTGGTGGACACAACCAGTGACTGAGCTTTGTTACGCGTAGTTAAAACAAAGCTTTAAGAACAGAGTATATAGCAACTGTCTGATACCAGAAATGTGGCAAGGTGATAGCTTTGCATTGTTCCTGCTTTGGATATAGATGCTTCAGTTTTTCAGTATAGAAACTGATTCACTATTCTCATTTGTTGAGATTGATATGTTTATATTTGAATTATACAGATGATATTTTCTACTAAAATAATGTTTTCCAGCCTGAGGCAATTTTGCTTCCGGGGGGCATGTGACAATACCTGGAGACTTTCTGGTTGTCACAACTGTGGGGGGGTGCAGGGTGCTCCTGGTATCTTATGGCTAGAGGCTATGTTTGCTTCTGAACATTGTTACAATGCACAGAATAGCCGTACAACAAAAGCACATCCAGCCCCATGTCGGTAATGCCAAGGTTAAGAAACCCTGTGTTGAAAGGAACAAAATGTATTCATAATTGAGCTCTTTGTCCCAAGGTTAATTCAGCATTATTGAATTCACTGTGAAATACATTTGAACATTTGGGGGAAGATATCTTGATTTTTTTTTTCTTTTTTTTTCTACAAATGTGTACATGTGGATTTAAAATGTTTTTTTAAAGAATTGCTTATTGTATATTCTTACGTAACTAATTTTATCTATTGTCTTTTTTCACCCTCTCCTTGTTTTTCCTTGTCCATTACAGAGGAATGGTAGGAATTATTCTCACTGCTGGAATTATTGGATGGTGTAGTTTTTCTGCTTCCAAGATTTTTATTTCTGCATTAGCTATGGAAGGACAACAACTTCTAGTAGCATATCCTTGTGCTTTGTTATACGGGGTCTTTGCCCTAATTTCTGTTTTTTGAACTGGATTTATCTGGGATGTGGACATCATTGGGCCAAACACACCAAAAGGACTTCAAACTCTTAAACCGGACCAGCAAACTGCTACCGTGCACCTCTCATGCAGATCCGACGTTTGACTATTGGAGCAATGGAAGTAAACACGTGTCTTTGTTCATTTTTATAGAACTTTTGAATACTGTGTTGGATTTACCTGCAGTATGATTAACTTTAAGTGTTTGTGCTTGTACAAATAAGAAGCGCTATTTCTTTCCTATAGCCTTTGAAAAACAACTTTACTCCTTAAATTATATTATAATGTTTTTGATAGATTTTTATCAACTGTGGGGAATTAACCACAGAGTTGATAATCTTTCTTAAAAACAATCCATAGTAAAGAAGATACAAGACTTATTGCAGAAATATTTTTTCAAGGAATTAGGAAAGAAAAATTGCCTGTATTCTCAAGTCAGATGCACATCAAGCAAAAAGTGACCCCAGTGTAGTTTATGAGTTTGCACTTCAAAAATTTGACATTCCTTTAAATTATCTCATAGAAGTTTTGCTAAAATTCAATGATACAGAAGTTCACGGTCTGCTTTATCGTAGACATGAAATGTGAACACCTGTTTAGATATTAGCACTAATGAAACCATAGTGTCCTAGATGTGTCATATTAATGCTCATAGTTGGATCTCCATTGTTTCCCAGGAAAAAGAAAATCACTAACCTTTTTTGAAAAAAAGATTAAAATGTCAGTTTCAGTATTGTAGTTATCAATGTAAAGTGCATTTGATGCTTATTAAAATTTTTCCAGTTTTAACTGTGTTGTCGAGTTTACTTTTGCTAAGCCACTATTCTTGGTGCCCCATTTTCTTTAAATAGGGTCTGATATGTATTCCCAGTTTATTCTCAGCTTTAAGGATGTAAGTCATCTAGTATATAATCAGGAAAAAAAGATTTCACAAAAAGCTGTTTACTTAGAGCATTATTTCTTTGTATTAAAATTCATTTGGTTAATAATGTCATGTTCTATTGTCAGATAATCTCTTAAGAAAATACTATGTATTATATATTGATCATTGGCTTTTTCTGAAGAAACTGCCTCTGACAAAATTCAGTTATAGTTTTGAGAAAGGTGCCAGATAGGAAAGAAAATACTGCCTTTTTTAAAGAGATTTTCAGACTAGATAAAAAGAAATGCCAAGCTTACATAGTCATGGTTCTTTTTTAGAGCTGGTTTTTATTCATAAAGGGAGGTTAAGACAATAAAACATTTCTTAAAAGAAGATCATTATTTCTAATTTCTGGAGTTATATAAATATGTTTTTCTTCATTAAACTTAATCTGGAGGAATACACTCACTAACAATTAGCTTCTAGCTGGGTTTTCAAACATATAAAATTGTTTTATAATAATATTTTTATTGTAATTCTTGGGTAGTATCTTTTTTCCTTTTTTAGTTAATTGTATAAATATAATGACTACCTTCTGTTAATACTATCTAAGGGTAGATGATGCTTTGGAGATTAAATTCTCCCACTGTTAGTTAGATACAAGACCGTGAATTTTCAGCCAAGATTCCCCAAATTTATCTTTTTTTTTTTTGCCTCTCCTACCCTCAACAACATAATTTTTATTGAAATTAAGGTAGTTGAGATTTTGGGGTTTGGTTGTCTTTTATTTAACTCCAAAATGATGAGACGCAAAACTATTTTATATTTAACTCGTTATTCTTTCAAAACATCTATAAAGTAGTATTGCTTTTGATATAAGAGTTTAGAGTTTGCTTGGTTACATAAGTGTCATGTATAACCAAAATTTCCCTTATAAAAATTTTTAAATAAAAAATACAGTGTATGTAGCCATATTTATGAATACTTTAAAAACTGATACAATATGTCTCAGAAACTTTTTTCTCTAGCATTGGAATAGTTTTTTGTTTCTCCAGTTAATAACAGATAAGAGCATCTAGCTTACTTTTAGGGCGCATTTTATACCAAAAACATATATGTGTCTTTAAATACCAGAGACACTTTCAGCATAGCTAAAAGCCCACCCAGCGGTTGTCACAGAGTAAGTGAAAACTGTTCATTACTTGTTGCATGCATGCATTTATGCCAGGGCATGTAGTTCATTTTCCCTGTGGTCTAAATGTAGTGTCAGAAGGGGTGTTTTCAAGAGCTGTATAGCTAGGCTTGTAGAAATAGGCATTCTTTCTCCAGGTATAGTTAAACAGATACGCAAAATTCTCTAAATCCTAAAGTGTTAACTTTCCTGATACTGGCCATCTAATCAAAAAGAATTTGACATTTTTAATTTTACATTAAACTGTGTTGTCAAGTTTACTTTTAAAAATGTAATAATTCTCTTTGATTACATTAAGATGTATCTTTATGACATAATTTTTGATAGATTTTTGATACTCTGTATTTGACATTTTGCAAGTAGGTATTTTTAACCTTAGTAGTCATTGCTATACTCAAATATACTCCAAAGCTAAATAAGCAGATGTGTTTCTAAAGTTAAAATTATTCAATTACGTTTTTAGTACTCATTACCTACAAAAAAAAAGGACCCTGTCCTTTCTGAAATTATATACTTTTTTCCATATAAATGGAAGAAGTTATAACTTTGGGCAAAGCAAAAGAACTGTAGAAATTAGGGTCATCCAGTCAGATACTCTGACCCAGTAATGGAGAATTCTGGGAAATCATGGCCACATTTATAGAATCTGCCTGTTCTCAAATAGAGCAAATCTAATGTAATGATTTAAACAATTTGCTTAACTTCCATGTGAGAGAAAAACATATATTTATGAAAAAGTGTTTAGCTTTTCATAAGGTAATGCCGAAAGTTTTCCAAAAAAACTTGCATGTTTCAAATCAAGCTTGAAGAATACTTAGCAAAGAAAAGCACAGGGCCTTTTAAACTCTAGCTAGAACAAGCTTCCTATGCAAATAATGCCCCCAGTTAAATATATCTTCACAAAGTATCACTGATTCATTTTGTCATTTCACGTCAAATTCCAAGTGATCTCAATTTTTTACTTGGAAATGAAAGCTTAAATTATTCCACAAGCTTTTTTTGGGGGGGGGTATCTAATGATACACTTGTTTCAACATGAACTTGAATGAAACATTTAGAATCAGGTAAAAACATAAGTACCTTTTCAAAGAAGTTGTATTTAATGAGGTTGTTTTCTGTTTTTCTTTTTAGGATTTATTTAGGACTTGGGGGAAGAAGGACAACAAGATATTAAGGTTTATTGGAAATCCCCTCAGGAAAATTTGGTGCATGTGTTTAAATGAACAGATAAGGGATCTGCCATTAGCTTGTTAAGCACATAGCGTTTACCTTCAAACACCCTAAATAAAACCCACCCTCACCACACCACATAATCTAGGCTGTCACCACTTTACACTACCAGCAAAGACATTGATTTTTAATCACCTCTACTGCTGCTACCACCCGAATTAGTGAAGTTTGAATTTTGGTACATTACTACTACTTGAATTTCAGTAAGTTACTTTGTTCATTAATAATTAAATGTCCATTTTATAACGTCAATAGGTAAAATGAAACATTAAATATTAAATTATTGATTTGTAGGGATTGGCAGAGTACTTAGTCAAAAGTTTTTTATATTATTCATGAATGTGTGTCTCAGAACGGTAACCATAAAGCCTGAAGAATAAGCCTGGTACTGTACAGTTCTGCTTTTTGCATCACAGATGAGAGTATTTCTTCTACCCTTGTTCACAAAGTTCCTACTGTAGTTAATGAGGAACATTATCTGCTGGTGGAGCACAATGTCCTGTGTTTGTGCAAATGAATTAAAATGATGACATACTCAAATGAGGACTAATTAAATACAGAGCTGTTCTTCTAATTTAAAAGCATGAATACTTCTTGGGCACATTAGGTTCTAAAAATCGGATATTACATTTTTTGTGAGCTTAACTAATTAGGCTTACCTTGCATATAAAAATTTGGTTTATTTCTGAAACTACCACTAAACCTGCTGATAGCTGGCAAGGTGATTAACTATTCATTAAGATATTTTAAATAGCTTTTCAACACTTGCTGCACAAAAAGAATTTTTTAAATGAGGAAACAAATGAAGTACTCAATGGAAACATTTAATATATGCTTCTAAATTTATACCTATTTGGCTTAACTGATTCTCCTAAAAGTAGAGAAAACAATAGGGTTATTTCATTTTTTTCCCAGGAAAATATAGTTTAAATGAATGTCTTTTGTAAAACTTAGTGACGCATTTCCTTACAGTTTTCAGTTTTGTGATCCTTGATAATATTCTAGAATTGGTAGAGTCTTCCCTGTAGTCAGTCAGTGGTCCTAAAAGCCCTATTATTTTCTATGTTTTAATTTTCAGAATGGAAATGTATTCCTTTTTCTGATTTCACACCATTATCTTTTTAAAGATTTTATTTATTTATTTTCAGAGAGGGGAAGGGAGAAAGAGGGAGAGAAACATCAATGTGTGGTTACCTCTTGTGTGCCCCCTACTGGGAGCCTAGCCCTGCAACCTAGGCATGTGCCCTGACTGGGAATCGAACCTGCAACCCTTTGGTTTGTAAGCTGTCGCTCCATCCACTGAGCTACACCAGCCAGGGCTGATTTCACAACATTATGATAAAAAGTAACACCTCTATATGGTAATAGAAGGAATGGATTATTTTCTCAACATGATGACCCTAAAAACATGCAAAGTAAAATAAGCCAGGTATGAAAGATCACATGATTCCATTTATATGAATTACCAGAAAAGACAAATCTACAGACAGCAAATTTGTAGTTGCTTGAAGGTGGAAGTGACTACACATGAGCAGGAGGGAACTCTGAGTGGCGATGGTTCATCACCAAAATCATTGAAGTACACTGTAATTGGGTAGGTTTTATGATACGTAAATTGTATGTCAATTATTATTTTTAAAGCATGGGGGGTAGAATGGGAGATAGAGCAAATTGCTAGAGTATCTGTATTTTTTAGAGTTTGAAAGATTTTAATAGAGGAAAAAACAGTACAGTACTTTCACCCAGAGAAAAAAACTGCAATACCAAGAAAGTGAAGGATCCCCAGCACCTGGCTTCATGCCCTACATAACTGCCTTTAGATGGATTGCTGTGCATTTTATCAGACCACACACACAGCACCCGCTCCCCTCCCCCTTTCCCTCAGTGGCTTGCATGCACAGTGAATACACACACCCATGCATCTCTGAAAACAAATTTTATTAAAAATCAGATAACACAAAATTCACCATTTTAACAGTTTTAAAGTGTACAGTGGTTTGTGTATTCATGATTTATACAATCGCCATCTAATTTCAGAATATTTCCATCACCCTTGCAAAAATCTCTATACCTCAATCCCCTACTTCCCATATACTGTAGCAACTACTAATTATTTTCTGTCTCTGGATTTACTTATTCTGGGCAACTATGAACAAGCATAAAAGGTGGCCTTTGTTTCTGGCTTCTTTCACTTAGCACAATGTTCTGAAAGTCATCTTTTTTTTTTTTAACCTAACAATCTATCATGGGTTCAACATTGCATATGTTGAGCACTGAAATTTACTTCATCCTTTTTAAAGTTGGATATTCTATGAGCAGAGTCTAGTTTATTCCAGCAGTTCCCTATCATTGGACAAGTAGGATCTTTGTACCTTTTTTAAAAAATTATAGATAGTGCTGCATTGTTCCTGGTATCTTTCATTATGAGGGTCACGTTTGCTTTTAATAGTGCTCAGGCTGATCATTTAAACTCAGAATTTAATTCTGAAAATTTCAATAAACTTA